TCTAGAACTCACAACGATCCTCCTGCCTCAGCCTCCCGAGTGCTGGGATTACAGGTGTGCGCCCCTGTGCCCTGCGGTACTGGGGATTGAACAGGGACACTGTACTGAATTACATCCCCATCTCTTTTATTTATTTGTTATTTTAGGACACAGTCTCACTAAGGTCATTGAATTATCCAGGCTGGACTCAAACTTACAACTCTCCTGCCTCAACCTCCCAGAGTACTAGGATTACACCTGGTTCCTGCTTGAACAGGCTGTCCTGAGGACAGCTGCAGGTGACAAGGGACACAGGATGATCTCCAGCTAACAGCCACACAAAACTGAGAGCCTGAGCTCCACAGCCCACAAAGAACTGACTCCTGCCAACACAAGGACCATGGATGCCTGACACACAAGCTGCAGGACAGATGTGTGTGGCTTTAAATGGCTACAATGGGCCCAGTGGGTATAGCACAGCGGTGCAAGCACGTGCCTGGCAAGCGCAAGTTCGTGAGTTCGATTCCCAGTCCAAAAAAAAAAAAAGAAAAAAATAGCTACATTTTGGGGTAATTTATTATACTGCATTAGAAAACTAAAACACTTGGATAAACGATAATGTGCCTAACGGCCAGGCATGGTGGTGCACGCCTGTAATCCCAGCTCTCAGGATTACAGGCTGAGGCAGGAGGATCATCGTGAGTTTAAGGCCAGCCTGGGTTACACAGTGCATTAAAGGCCAATCTGAACTATACAACAAAGCCTCATCTCAAGAACCAAATTAATTACTTAATTAATTTTTAAAAAGGTAACAGGTCATTTGGGTTAAATCTGAAATAGCATTTTAAAAAATTTATTATAAAGGGTCAACCAGGCCAACTGAGGTGACATCAACTTCAAGAAAGAAAATGAAAACCTCCCAACCTGGAGTGGGAGGGGTCGAGGCTCCACACAGGTGAGGATTCCTAAGGTCTCTGGCTAACTACAGGGTTTTCTCCCTCTCTGGCTTTGGCTGGACATCAAGCGTGGGGAAATCACCCCTTACTGTATTCCTTCAGATTTTGAAGCAGACTAGAAAAGCCTCTCAATTTCCAGGCAGTTTAGAGTAATGGAAAACAAGGTATTTTTTGTCCTCTGGACTGGATTTATCTTACCAGAGAACTTAACTGGTGGGGTTAAGCATCACCTTTAAGGTGAGGCACCCCCCCCCCCCCGCAACACTGAGAGAAAATGTGCAACGAGGGGCGGAAGGGAGAGCAGAGGAGCAGCGCCACCAGGGCAGGGGTGTGGAGAGACCTTCGCGAGATGATGAAAATGTCCTGGAACTAGATAAAGGTGATGGCTGCACAACTTTGTGAATATACTAAAAAAATAAAATTGTACACTTTAAAATGGGAAATGTTGTGGCTTCTAAATTGCCTCAATTATAAAAATTTTAAGCTGGGTGTGGTGGTGCACACTTGTAATACCAGCACTCGGGAGGCTGAGGCAAGATCATTGCGAATTCGAGACCAGCCTGGGCTACAAAGACCAGCCTGAGCTCAAGGCCAGCCTCCACTGCAGAGTGAGATCCTGTCCAAAAAAACAAAACAAAAAAATTTAAGTGAGGTCTTATGGTAGTAAGTTGGTGCTTGTGTTTTTTGTGTTTGTTTTGTTTCACTGAGACAGGGGCTCGCTCTGTAGTGCAGACTGGCCTTGAACTCACTGCCAGGAGCCGGCCCTTGCAGCCTCCTAAATGCTGGGATTACAGGCGCACTCCTAACCTGCCTCAACATTTGCATGTAAACACTTCCCAAATAGAGACATTTCACCCCCAGGCCCGAGGCTACCCACGGGCACCTGCTGGAAGGGGATGCCTCTAACCCCCATAGCTCAGGACTCACCACACGCTTGGGATATTTTTTCTTCATTGTATCTTTCAGGAAAATTACTATCAGAAGCCCTCTCCCAGGAAGTGCGTTTATTTTTCTAAATCTGTTTTTGGTTCATTTATAGATGCTAGAGAGTTTTGTTTTTTTTTTGGTGTTTTTGAAACAGGATCTCACTATGCAGTTCAGGCTGGTCTAGAACTCACTTTGTACCCCAGGGTGGCCCAGAACTCCAAGTGATCCTCTTGCCTCTGCCTCCTGAGTGCTGGGATTACAGGAGTGCAGCACCACCCCCAGCCTACTACAGCTATCTTTTAAGACCTGAGAAAATTTCACCTCATTTTATAGTACAACTCACTGGTCACTGGTTGCTATGAATTTCTGAAGAATAAAACTCGCTGAAAATAAACATTGAGAGAGAAAGAAATCTTTCCAAAGTTCTGACTGCTTTTCAGCATCCCCCAGTTTATTTGAATGTCATTCCCAGGTAACATGTGGAGTGGCATATGCTTCCTATTACTACACAGTAAAACATAATCCATAACCAGGGAGAGTCCCCACGTGACACACCCTTGGAATTCAGAATCAAGGCCGACTCTTGGTCGAGGTTAGGGGGCGGTAATATTCTATAACATGATTACAGGGAACTTGAGATAAACCGATTGAAAAACATCTTTGAACAATTATGATTGACACAATAGGTTTCCCTTGTCCCACTCGATTCAAATCTCTGTAAACTCCAGTACCCACTCTGGCGGACTTCACAGTCCTAGCTGCTCCATGCTGGCCCACGTACAGCGCACTCACGGCCAGGCTGCGCGGGCCCCTGCGCCCCGCGCGGCGCCCTCAGATGCTCCGGTAGTCGGAGCCCCGGGCCACGACGGCAGCGGCGTCCCACTCTACGGTGAAGAATGAGATGGTTCCCAAGAACCCGAACACCACCATGACCAGGAGCTGCCAGTGAAGGAGGAGGTAGTTGCTGTAGAAGAAGGCCACGGCTGCGCAGATGGACTGCGGACAGAGAGAGCACAGATGCACCGGGCGCACGCGGCCAGCAACTCCCGCCGTGCTTACCCCTCACCCCTCCGCCCCTAACCAGCCCCGGACATCCCCGGAGGAGGAATGAAGGAACCAGAGAGGGAGAAACACACACTTCTATGCGAGTCGGGGTTGGGCGGGGATTCTGGTCTCTAAGGAAGGAAGTCTCCATGCTGAGCAGGCCACTCTCCCGGCATACTGCTTCTGGATTCTCTCTCAGACCTTTTTATTTCCTATTTTGTGTTTTGAGACAGGGTCTTGCCACGTAGTTCAGGCTAGCTTTGAACTCACCTTATAGCCCAGGCTGGCCTCAAACTCATGGGGATCTTCCTGTCTCAGCCTCCAGAGTGTTGGAATTACAGGCCTGTGCAAGCACGCCCCTTTCACAAACCCCTTTTAAAGGCGGTCTCCAAATCTCAATCTCTCCTCTCTGCTTCTCTCTCTCCCTTTCTTTTTTGGTACTGAGAACTGAGCCCAGGGCCTTCACACTGAGTTGCAGCCCAGCACTTTTTTGAGACAGGGTCTCCCTAGGTTATTAAATTGCTCAGACTGGGCTTGAACTTTTGATCCTCCTGTCTCAGCCTCTCAGAGTGCTAAAATTACATGCATGTGCCACCACACCTGGCAGAGAAAGCAGGGAAGAGCGTGAAGGGAAAGAACTATGAACACAACCCAAAGAGGTTACCTGGACAAACTTAAAGATGGCAAAGGCTGGTGCGCTGTCTTCGGAATAGAGAAAGCCCAGGATGCTGAGCAGCTGGGTATTAAAGCAGCTGTCCCCCAATCCCAACAGAAAACTGCAGAGAATGGCAACTTCTTTGCTAAGGAAAAAAAAATTTAGTATAAGAAGTACTAATATTTGCTAGAGCCACTTAAAATGTAAAAACAACCCACCCACAAAAGCACTTTATCTTAAAGTTTTAAACATAACAAGAATAAATACAGCCAGGCACTATGGTGCATGCTTGTAATGCCAGCATTCTCAAGAGGCTGGGACAGGAGGATCCCAAATTCTAGCCCACCTTGGGCAATTTAGCAAGATTCTGTTTCAAAATAAAAAATAAAAAGAGCTGGCCGGGTGTGATGGCTCACACCTATAATCCCAGCACTCAGGAGGCTGAGGCCGGATGACTGTCTGAAGGTCGAGGCCAGCCTGGGCTAAACAGCAAGACCCTCTCTCAAAAAAAAAAAAGAAAAAAAATTTTTTTTTTCTTTAAATAGAAAGGGTTGGGGATGAAACTCAGTCCCAAGGCCCCGGGTTCAACTCCCAGTATTGAAAAATTTTTAAAAATTAAAAATGAATAGTAGAATTTATAAATTCTTTTTTCTTTTTTCTTTTCACTCTTAGTCCGGAACCCAGGGCCTTGTGTGCTAGGCAAACGCTCTTCCTTCCACTGAGCTACACCCCTAGTCCCTGTACTAAAATTTACACAGTAAGAAGTTAAGCTCAATGCACATACTTCACACTTTAGCAAATTCAGGCCTACCATCTATTTGGGGAACCAACACTGCTTTCTGGGTCGGTCTCCTCTTAGATTCACAGACCTAAACATCTGCAACCCATGAACAAAGCCCTGGATGCCATGGACGTTATCCTCAAAACCTTCAGGAGCTACCTCAAAGGACAAAGCAGCCAACCCGGCTGACACAGGTCCTACTCCTCTCTGTTCTCTCTCCAGGCTAATTCTGGGATATTTTATTGTTCAAAAAGCAGAGGTTGGCAGGTGTGGTGGTGCACACCTGTAATCCCAGCACACGGGAGGCTGAGGCAGGAGGATTGCCACAAGTTCAACGCCTGCCTGAGGCCAGCTTGGACTATATGGCTAGACACTGTCTCAAAACAAAAACAAAAACAAAAACAAAAACAAACAAACCCAAAAAACAAAAAAAAAGGAGAAGTGGAGGGGAGGAGAGAAGAGGGAGAAGAGGAAGAAGAAGACTTAGTAGGGGAAAAGGTTAAAAGTAACTCTTAAAAAAAGAGCTTGGGATTCTTTACAGAGCTTACTTTATGAACATGACCCTTGTAAAGGTAACAGACTCTCTGAGAGGATTAAGTGCTTCGTTGCACACACCCAGCTGTCCAACAGCTCTCCTCTGCCGTGGAACACTGGGAAAATGGCAGCGTCCATACCTGGGCCTGATGTAAGCACTGCTGTTAGTTCCCTCCACAGGCGCGATAGGGGCATCTGCAGGCATGTTGAGAAATATTAAATAAAAAGCTATAAAGTGCACCAGAATGCCCAACAGCACAACTGGATTTCTTCCAAAACGATTATTCTTGCTCAGCAGGCCGAAGAGGCTTCCACCTATATATTAGGACAGCAGAAACATTAGCAAATTACTAACATATTATAGAACATCAACAATCTTGAATTATAATCCAGCAGCCGTGGGATAAATACCACCAACTGTCCAGTATCTTCTGAAATTCAACAGCTAACACCTGTAGACAGTGACAGCTACACAGCATTATAACAAAACATAAGGCATCAAAATTATTTATATTTTATCCAGTAATCTCTTTACATTTCTTCTCTTTGAATTCCTGTACCCTCAAAACGATCCTTTTTTTTTTTTTTTTTCCTTGACATAGGGTCTCACTGTGAAGTCGAGGTTGGTCTTAAACTCACTGTGTAGCCCAGGCTGGCCTCCAACTTGCAGCAATCCTCCTGCCTCAGCCTCCCAAGTGCTGGGACTATAGGCATGTGCCACTATGCCCAGTTCTTCCTCTTTGAATTATAAATTATACAGAAATAAAATAGAAAAGACACCACTTATCTGCTAGTATCATGTTTTTGCTATAATCATAGCTGAAAGAGCCAAGCGCTTCCTGGAAAGGCGGCCACCGTGAAGGTGATGGGTCCGCGCAACTGTGAAAGTGTGGGGGAAAAAAGCTTTGCGAGGTTCCGCACTCACAAGCATTTAGACTGTCTCAGCAGGAACAAGAGAATACCTTTCCACCTGGAAGGCGGACGACAACGAGGCCATTGCTCTTAAAATCCTCACATGATTTCTGCCCTAGAAATCTACACCAGAAAACCTATGAATCAAATTGACCAGGCAGTCGTTTGGAAAAAAGAGGCAAGTGTGAAAAATTCCAAACACCTCAGATATCTACCTGTAAAAATGAACATACACAGATGTAAGGAAAAACTGGCAAATCTTCTTTAACCTCAGTGTAAAGAACAGCATTCTGCCGGGCATGGAGGGGCACACCTGTAATCCCAGTACTCGGGAGGCTGAGGCAGGAGCATCGTTTTGAGTTCGAGACCACCCTGGGCTACAAAGTGAGCTCAAGGCCAGCCTGAACTGCATAGCGAGACCCTGTCTCAAAAAGACAAAAAAAG